TTGACAGGCAATCCTAGCCTAGAACCATGTTGGAATGCCTGGTAGGATAAGAACTGTAAAGGTTACAGCTTGTTTGGGGGTGTAGCTGTGTCAATTTGATCGGGTTATGATGAGCGTAGGAATGTTTGCTTCAGGCTTCTTTATATAATAAGCTATGCGATGAGTATAGGTGATCATTACTGATCCTACGTACACTACAATAGGTTGGGTCTGTTGTTTGCCAACTACCTACATTGTACACATGTATCAATCATACATCTGGGATACGTCAAGTGTTGCTGAAATACATCAATGTCATGGTGATTGTATTTCTATAATCTGTATGTAGGTATTTCAATTTGTTTTTAAATCAATGAAATAAGGTAGAAATCCATGTCATATCAGCATTTAACTAAACTTTTAAGATATTGGTCAATTTTATGAGCATTACTTTAAAGATTTTATTAACGTATTCTATTCAATTAAAAAAAAAATTCTATGCAAGTTTTGTGTGCCTTGAATATTAATTTCTGTATACTTTTCTTAGAGAACACACCTTTCTTTCAATACAAAATGATTTAATGATTAAATTAGTAAAAAGGGAAAAATCGAAGGAATACAAATGAATGGTTGAATATGAGGTGACCAGAAATATAAACTTACAAATATGAATCCATCATCTATGACACAAATGCAAACCTTTCATCACTAAACACAAATTTACCCTAATAGGGGGGTGTTTCACAAAGACTAAGATCGACTTTAAATTGGACTGAACTATGATAGGCTATTTAGGCCACTGTTTGCTCTCACCATCATGATGTTTAGATCATATTTTTTCCTTCAATAATGAATTATCAAAAAGTTAATTCTGTAGATTTGTGACCATGATTTCTATGTCCCTTGAGAGACCAATGCCAGTAAATGGTGAGAGCAAACAGTGGCATGAACGGCCTTCCATAAGTCCAACTTAAAGTTCCATCTTAGTCTTTGTGAAACACCCCCGGGACTTTAAGTGGGCCTAGTCAAATATCAGGAAGGCAGGTCTCTTAAGTATCACTCTTCAATCTTTGTGCTCAATTATTCCCTATTAGCTACATTTACATGCACTTTAACCTGGCATAGAGCATAGATCTTTAGAGTAGAGATGTTACCTTCTACCTTTCCTATTTGCACATTGGCTCTAAGTTAAGATCTTATTGTTGCTCTACAGTCTGTAGGTTCTCATGGAATGTACGGGACGTGAAACTGACAATACTAACTCCCACATGGCCCAGGGGAGAGTGATGTGAATTAGTGGGCTAGTTTCATCAATGCATGGGACTTCAGAATTGAGGAACAGCCAAGAAGATGGTATAGACATCAAAGAAATTTAACTTGCAATGAGCCAGTAGACTGTAAACTCGCATCATTTAACACTGAGTAACTGCCATTTTAGCTCTCACAAGACAAGTTCTTCTCAATAACAAATAATAATAAAACTTAAAAGAATAAAAACCTTGTCAATCATAATTTCAATTACACAAGAAGTGTATACCTTTTACAACTATATAGCCATGCCATTCACATACATATAAAGAATGTAAATTACAATTACCATTGGTCAAGGTATTGCAAAGCATCCTTGCTTTCAAAATATTGAATTTATTTTAAAAACGGGCGGCATCTACAGTTACAGAAGTGATATTTTGATTGGCATGTGCATATGTCTTTGTACATGTAACTATTCTATGAGGTGTGAAGAGCCTTGGAGAAAATTATGACTAGCAAATCTTGCTATGATATTACTGAGAAGAAAGAAAAAGAAGAAGAGATCTATGCATGCATGCATGTGCTTGGTTCAGCTAGCTTGGACAGGGATAGCCGAATACCATAGGATTATGTTTTATTGTAGATTCTGGAAGTCTATCTGAGGATTTGTGACAAAACCTTGAAATTTGATCAAATATTCCAAAGCAAGAACTAGAATAGCAGAATTCAAGGGAAAATGCACATGTTATAGAGGACCTGGACAAACACAATTTAATGAAGATCTCGTCTTAAAATAGTCAATGGATTAACAAACTGATAATTTCACTTTGCAGAGCCTCGTAGACATACAAACATATGTCTGCATCATGTTCATGAAATACATTGTAATTTGAATACATGCAATTATTTGGAGTTGATATAATGATGGGAGGCATGTAAAGAAATTGAAAGGGGAAGAAAGAGGTAGGGAGTGAGAGAGACAAACATGTAGGGAGAAAGGGGGAGGGGGAGGGGGAGGAAGAAGGAGAGAGGTGGGAAGAGTGAGAGAGAGGGAGAGAGAGAGAGAGAGAGAGAGACGTAGAAAGGGAGAGATAGAGAAAGGGAGAGATAGAGAGAGGGAGAGGGAGAGAGAGAGAGAAAGAAGCGGGAGGGAGAGTTATCACACATAGTGACTCAATTTTGCAGTTATAACTGGCTGACTTAATGTACATGGGATGTCATTTTTTTATCTTTATTACTAGCATTCAAATATTATTCTCTCTTAGTCACGAAGCATCATAGCACCAAGAGCTTAGGATAATGATTTTTCATGCATCAATTTATTGGTCTGCTTATAATATCAAAATGAGACGAAAAGGAAAGAAATATAGAGCATGACTCACCCACAAATATCCATTATTTGTGAGGTTCAAGCGAGGTTTGTGTTCCCAGAGACACACAACGGATGAATAATCAACAGAAATTTGACTAGTGGGAGGGACAAAGGATGAACCAGAGGCCATGTATACAAGAACTAAATATTGTCTCTCTATTTTTTACACTTGGAAAACCATTAAGGACACCTTTACTTGTACCAATGCAAGTCATGACCACATTGCTAAAGGATGCTCGTAGCTCTATTATTTGAGAAATGAATTGCTATTTGTTTAACACTAAAAAAAGAAATACTATACAGTCTACTGGTGTGGCTGTCTACGCATTGTATATCACAATGGCATATTTTCTGACTGGTTGAATATAGTCCAAATTTAATATCTAATTGGCATCTTGAAAATAAGCCCACTAACATGCTTGATATAGCATATCCTCATTAGAAAAATCATCAAATTGTATTTTCATCATAATTACAAGATGAAATGTTTGATGTGTATCTTTTCTGATTAAAATAACAAGAAAACAAGGAACTGTTTGTAATAAAATTTTTGAATATTTCATTACTGAACCCCCCCCCCCCCCAACGCTTTCATTCTAGTCCAATATCCTACAATACATGAATATTGAACAAATTACAGAAAGAGCAGTACCGGTAGTCTTCCAGAAGTGACATTATATCAACTTACTTCCACACTGTTTGTTTTCATATATATATATATATATATATATATATATACACAAACATCATGTTTAAAATCACCCCTAATGACTTCCTTTTGGATTGAATTAACAAAGAAATAATTATTTACATCAGCCACAATTACTTCCTCTCATTCAAATCTTTCAAATAAGCTTGAATGCTCAGCTACAACCAACAAAATGTAGGTTGATTTGGCAGTGCAATAGTGCATTCCCATGAAAATTCTTTAAAAAATATCTGTCTGAGAGAAGGATCACTTGTGTTGTGAACACAAAGCCTTGACAGACAACCAATAACCAAATGAACTTCATGGCTCAGTACAAAGCCAATCATTCAGTCTATTTAGATTGTGGCTTCATCTACATTTATAAGGTTTCATTGTAGATCTATGGTTTCATCAACTGACATCACACACTGATTCAAGCTGTTTTTTTTATATGAAAGGCTTCAAACTTGATTATCCATGATAATCAGGTAATTTATGATCTTGCAGAGATGCAGTGCTCTGATAAAGTTTGTTCAGTGCAAGTAAACAAATTTATCATCTTGAATCTTGCAATAAAACATGCAAAATGTTTGAAGTTAAAGGAAATGTACAGCATTGGTTAAAGTCAAAAGGGACAAACTCTGGATTTCCATAATTTTCTTACATTTTTGTATACACCTCTGAAGATAAAATATGACCCCATTATGTTCTGCTTTGGTTGCATACACTTCATTGTGTGAATAAATTACGTAAAAAGTTTCTTTCTTTTGTAGTTATTAACTGGGTATTGTTTATGTAGCTTTCATTGGTATCAGTTAGCTTTATAATTACTATCTAATAAATGGAGGTGAATGTACAGTAGGTAAAAGAACAGACAATTCACAAGGAACTATCCATATTTACAGAGCTGGGAATTCCCTACAAATAACAAAATATTAAAAGAGGAAAAACTGAATTTTCCCACAGGACAGACAATTAAATAGCCCAGACTTTGTATGTCTGCTTCTGCCTCACAAGGCTTCCTGGTAAAATAAATCAATCATATTTCTAAACCATTTACATAAACCTGTATCAAGAAGATCACATTTCCACTAATCTTTGACCTAGATCAATACTTTGTATTATCTTTAACTTTATTCTATTAAATAATTGTAGATGAATGTCTTGATTTCATACAATACTACAAATAAATGCATGGGTGCTTCCTAATTGCTGTTCACAAAAATGTGCACATTCATCAAACGTGGGACAAATTATTGCAAACATTGCAATGTACTCCCACAAAGCCCTGTAACTATTCCCCAGGCAATACAAAGTTAACAAAAAAATGAGTTAGACAGAAACGAAGAGGAGGAAAAAAAATTGGACTGCATGTTCATATGATGGGAAAAAGGAATATAAAAGGTAGGAAGAGAGTGGGGGGGGGGGGGGAATGCTACAAAATCTTATTTGTTTTCTTTTCTCTCTGGCTAGTAAAAATAAGGGGGGGGGGAAGGGAAAACATAAAGTCAGGGCAAGGAGCTTCACATATACATGTACATTCACACAATCGTACATTGTACATTCACGATCTGGTGTTGCTCAGTGGCTGCCGGGCTCACGATCAATTGGGCAAAAAGAATTTCCATTTCGGTTTAATAGAATTTGGAGTGGACTATTAGGCTATTATTATTATTGATTTTTTGTCCCGAATCAATGTCTTCAACTTACCAGCTTCTGTGTATTTTCCACCAAGATTGTCATCATCTTCTGGTGACTTCTGAGGGGGCCATATGGGAGTGAGTTTGCCAGGAGATGTAGCTACCGAACCACTGGAGAGAGAAGACGAAGAGGAGGGCTGGTTCTCATGCCTCCAACAGTACATGGAGTCCAACTAGAGATAAAAGGAGGAGGCGGAGAAGGAGGGAATAAGAGGGAACAAGAGAGAGAAGGGCGAATGAAACTATGCCCTTACATCAGTTCTACAGATTTCATATTTCAGTCCTGAACAAAATATTTCAAATTAAATTTCTTTGCAAAATGTATGTGCTTGAGAGAACATAAGCCTGTTTGTGTGTGTAATGAAAATTCATCAAGATAAGCTTCTGTAACCCAACCTTACCATTTGGATGGATGGACTTCCCTCATACATATTCATACACCTGCTCATTCAAATATTATCCTATTAAATATGTAAAAAACATCTTGTCCAGTTATCCAGATCCATTTAAGAAGTAATAACAGATTAATGATATCCACAAAATGTGAGTGCCCTGATAATAACAGCAGAGCATGGAAACAAACTTCACAATGCTGGGTAATTTCTGTTTCAAAAAGAAAGTTTTACTATAATAGCCACATTTATATCATATTTGTAAATTGAAAAAAGAAACCTGCATGGATGATATATGAGCACATGTGTGGACTTTGATTAATCTCCTCGACCCTTCTTAGCAACAGTTGCCATTTAAGTAATCTAACGGGAATGAATTGATGCAATGTGATAATTTTATTGGATAGGGAAATAACCAAAGGATTCGCAACATGAAAAATACCCCCAGCTGTCATGGCTTGCATTCAGATGCTGTGGCTTGCCCAGTTTCCATAGCAATGTAGGTGAATTTTAGAAATTAAATATGAGAACAATTTATGAATTTGACAGCAGTAATAAAGCCTCTAGTATTCTAGTTACAGGAAAAAGCTCTTCTCATATACCATGTTTAATTGAATACTTCAGCAGACATAGTGAGAGTGTAATGGGCATTAAATATCATTATACATGTACTTGCCATTCTGTGCTTGTAACTTAAACATTTACAAACAATTACTGTCAGTGAACTAACGACTCTAAATTAAATAGCTGTCTCTACGGTTCTTTACTTGTAAAATCTTTTGAGAGTCAAGTTGTGAGTTTTTGAATCTTTACCTAGACATGTATATCAGTTATTTACAAGTCTATGTAAAGATTGAACAGCTCAATTTTTCCCCCTAGGATGTTTAGAAATACCATAACCAGAAACCACTGAAAATATGCCTACTTTGAATATCTTTGTCTTTAAGGGAGTGAGGCACACCCTAAAACCATAACTATAACCAGGAAGGATAACTATAACCAGGAAGGATACCTACATGTATAACTAGGAGATATCAAAGGTTACCCACTATGATTCTTTTAGCTTGAAGAAAGATGTCCCTTATTGTAGATTACTTCAGTTGAGTAGAGGATACCTATAACATGGAGCTAAACTTTTGTACTTCATTATTACCACTACTGATTCTCCCGCATATAAACTAAAGATTATGCCTTTGACCTTGAGGTACTCCCTGAAGTTCCAGGCTACCTATAACCAGCAAATGTACATGTAATTAAAAAGTTACCAACTATTAATCAATCTCCTACCTTAAAGACGTCTGTCCCTGAGGCGCTCTCAAGGGGCTGTAGGATACCGATATCTAGGAGATTGGTGCAGAGCATATAGGCAGCAGACTGGGCTTCCGAGATGGAGGATGGACTCAGCAAACCCCCATCTTCCTGGTATGGAGGTGAGCAAGGCAAAGAGGAGAAGGAGGAGCAGGAGGAACAGAGCCAGTCTAGAAGGCGTCGACCTGGAAGGCAATGCATGAGATATTTAAAGCAATGCGCAACACTCAGAGTGACAAAATAACATCTACATGAGTTCAGAGCAGTGTCTGTTCACTGGCAGTTGGTATTGGAAATATTACGTCTGTAGATAGATCTAATTTAATTTAGTGAACAGTGCGCTATGGCAAGGACACTCAATGTAAATTTAACCAATCTGGAGCTCTAACCTTCCAATAATTTGATACCAATATAGCTTGTGATCATGGATTATAATCTAATTCCACTGGCTTAAAATTTGAAAGGAGAATTATGAAACCATACAGACAACATTTAAGTTTTAAGAGTACAATACATCAGAAAAAAGATTTACAAACAAGAGAGAGAGAGAGAGAGAGAGAGAGAGAGAGAGGAGGGAGATTATCAAAGAGTGTGAGAGACTAGAAAGGGAAAAAGAAACAAGAAACTGAGAGACACAATGGATAGATGGAAGGAGAAAGGGAGGCACACTGACACACACATCAAACAATGTAGTTATGAATACACCAACAAGTTGTTTATTCCATGTAAAATGCTTAGAATTTCCTTTACTATATTCATTGTTTAAGTTTTTATTTAAAATTTATATATTTCATGTAAAGCTATGTATAAATGTTAACCTTTAATATTATCATTACTGTCATTACTATTATCTTTATCAAAACAAGCATTTGGTGATTTGATAAACCATAAAAAGAATTTGATAGTTATACTAATTTCACTTCTATGTAATATCTAAAATTAGTTACACAGAACAAATATCTGATGAGAATACTTTGTGAAGGGGAGGGGGAACCTCATGAAACACTGCATGCAAACTAAAGATTCAGAAAAAAGTCATTATGAAAAGATACAAGAGCAGAGGAAGCAGAGAGAAGTTCCAGACTCAAATAACCAGGATTATGCTACATGTATCAAATTGGCAGATCAATATCAGACTACTAATTACACCCTGCAATCAACCTCAATATATAATGGCTAATCTATGTGATTAGGGGAATGAAACAAGATCTACATGTACATGGTATGTACAGCATATATCATATATGGTACATGTACTGCTATAATATACATTGTAGCAGTAAGTAGTTACACAATGTAATATGATCAATGATATTTTATGTAGTCTTACATTTCAAATGACATTATACACTACTGATATACCTTGTTTCAAACATCTGTACGGGAGGGGGGGGGGGGGGGGGCAGGCAGGCGCTAAACATATTTTACTATTCAGTATCTTTAATACTCTACATATAGAAAAGCATGCTGTTAAATGTAGGAATTGGCTCATACAGTGGCCATCGGTAGATTCCACAGTATATGAAGTTAACATGTACACAATAATCACTTTTATAGCTCAATGGATTAATTAACAAGTATTTGTGAAATTGGCAATGATTTGAGTCATGGATGGTGGAACTGTCCTGCTGGTTTATGCATCTAATTGACAGTGTAACATCAAATATTTAAAAAACATCCTAGTAAAGCTATTTAACCTATAATGATTACTAGTAACAAAGTGCATGTTAAAGCCTGTCATGTTCTACTGGCTAAAACAACAAAAAGATGCACAAAATATTATAAGAATATCCCATTCCCAATGGTTCTTAATTAATTAATTTCTGTTGAAACTTTCATGAACTATTAGGGACTGTTAATTGCTAAATGTTAATGTTCATGTATGTTCTATGTTGTTATTATAAAGATTTTTTTTATCAAAATACATTTATGGGTCTCAAGCACTTGTGAAATTCACCAAAAAGTTTCATGCATGCAAGAGTTTCTAGTTTTGTTGCCATACATGTACCATTAAATACAAATATAATTTCACTTGGTCAAGTGGCCCATCTGACATAAATACTATCTAGCCCAAAGGGTTAATATTTTCATAATGTGGTCCTGATAAAGGCCTTCAATAATTTCATCTTTTTCCCCCATAAGAAGTGTCTCCCTCCTTGGTTCTTTGCACACTCAAAATTGCCCCCTTTATTTCTTTGTTCCTTTGACTCCAATTTTTGCACATCAGACCACAATTTGCAACAGTCTCCATGGTACATACATTTTAAAAAAATGTACCTTAAAACTCACATTGCATAAGACCACTATGGGAAAACCCAGAATGTACTCACAGCTGAACAATTGTCAATCCACCCCCAAATGCAAATCCCTTTGCAAATCATGCTGGAATGCATTCTTTCAAAGAGTTTCAAGAGGGTCTTTCAACATACCCCAGCATGTGACCTCGTGCCATTACAGCATTAAGAAATCTCTCCCGCATAGATGATGTTAACATTCAATTGAATTGGAGCAATTTTGCCATGACACAAAGAACAAGAAAAGATTTCTTTAACCATGCAGATTCAAATTGCCTAATAAATCACAATATAATATAATATACACTCCCCCTTCAAAAAACAAATTCCATAGTGCCTTATCATATTCAATTCAATTCAATTCAAATGAATATTTCTTTTCTTCCAAACAATACAAAGTTATCAAAAAAAAAGGATCAAAAGCAAGTACACGATTGTCTGATATAGCAACAACTAATATATGCAAAGTTTTTAAGACTTTTATTTACATATATATTTCATCTTGGTATACAGTTCAAATAAACAGGGGTCCTTGTGCAGGACCCCTGTTTATTTGAACTGTATACATTTAAAAAATGTTGATAGGGATGAAGTGCACATAGACATTCAGGATCCCCCTCCCATCTTCTTCTTGAGAACAATAATAGTGAGTGTGGAGCTGTGGACACAACATAAAATGTTCTTTCAGACATTTAAGTGGGAAATAATCACAGTGATTAAATCAGGGTCGAATAAAAAAAAAACAATTATAGATACATGTATTATCCTTCAAAATCCCTTCTGAACTTTCATGTGGAAAGAGTATTAGGAACCCTGGGAAGTAATCTCCAGTACTAGATCAGGTGAGTCAGAGGCTTCTCTCTCTATGGTTACGATGTACCTACATGTACAGTGTGGCTTCAAACTATAGGGCTGCATGGTATCCAGTCATAACAGCAATGCTTTTGATGAAATGCAAAATACATGCTAGATGTACAGTGTGGTATTTTATTACCTACATGTATTTAAACCCTTCCATAAATTTGTTCTTACACAAAGAAAAATCACTATATTTTTCCTTCCAACTTTGTGACCGAATATGATCTCCTTGTGTTTGAAGTACCTACATGTGTGCGATGCTACATTGTACATGTACATACAGTGTACATCCCCTTGGTGCTTCAATTTGGTAAGGAGAATTGCAAATTCCCATTTCATCAAGGCATACTGCACCACAAATTTAAATAGAAGAGTGGTCCCAAATGAAATGACCACTTTGCCAATATGAAGTTCACATAGTGATCTACATTGTACATGTACACTTTCAAAGAACTTGTATCTATTCTTTTAATACTATGTCATTTTCCATTTTGCTTCTCACTATAGATCTCTCTGATTTTTCTGATTTCATCCAATTCAACTTCTCAGGAAGGTGGGTTTCCCTTTTAGCACAAATAACAGCGATGGTTGTTTTCTTCTAGAAAATGGATTATCATTTAATTTGAAAAGAGAATCCACACATATGGATCATGCATCTACATCTACATCTCTATTAAGATAGATAGTTTATAGATAGTTTATTGGTTTCCACAATATCTCATTTTACAAAGAGTGTAACAACATATTGAAAATGATTATTTTATACATGTACATATAATACAATGCCAGTACACACTATTCAGAATATTGTCCAGTAAGTTTAACTTAAGAGATAAAGTGGCGGAGCCTATGGAAAAGCAGAGCTTGTTGTGGATAGGCTCCTTAAACTAAAAATGACATGATTAACTAAAGTAAAGTTTATAAAATACAAATACACGCTAAAAGAGGGAAAGAGGGATTACAGGGATACATGAACCGATACTCACAATTAACTACAAAAGACAAGGAAAAGGGAAGGGAATATATCTGCACTCAGCTTATTGAAACAATATTACAATATAGTTTATTCTCGATATGAGTATATAATAAACATAGTTGGTATGGTCATACCGTTAGTTACTCATTGTAATGAACAAAAGTATACAGTTTGGAGACAAGAATAGTCAGGAATCAGGAATGACAATATGTATTCAAATAATAACTTTTCAATTTTCTTCTGAATACGTACACTTACAGACCTTTAATCACAGAATCGAGAGAATTCCAGAACTTAGGACCTGTATATATTAAGGTGTTTTGAGTATTAAAAGCTTGTTCTCGTTCTAGGAAGGTGATAGGAAAACGCCTGTCGGGTAGAATATTTGTGGACTTGATTTCTTTTCTTAAACAAATAAGATAGTGCCTGGGGCAGTTCGTTGTTATTCAGCTGAAACATGAGGCAGCCTAATTGTAAATTAAAAATATCCCAAACTCTCAGTACTTTTGTATTAAAGAAAAGAGGGCTCGAGTGAGTACGAATAGGTACATTGCAAATTGTTCGTATTGCTCTTTTTTTAACAACCAGGATTTTGTCCAGTTGAAGTTTCAATGAACTACCCCAGGCAAGAATACCATAGTTCAAGTAGGGCAACATTAAAGTGGAGTACAACATTTGCAATACATATGATGGGAACATAGGTTTCAGTTTGTATATCACACCTGCATTTCTTGATAGTAATGAACACAAATAATTTGTTTGTATTTATTTTGGAGAAAAGGGAGGGGTGATTAAATGGATGCATCAATACATAATATATAACCTTGGGGAAAAGATGCAAGCAGTCCATTCTAAATGAAAATCTGTTCAATCCTCAACATTTCCATACCGGTATACTGTACATTGTACTCATTAGCCATGTACATGTCACTATGAATGTGACGGACAAAGAAAGCGGACAAAATATACAGTTCCTCAGGTAGATAAAGGAACATCCCTTCTCTGCTATTATGTAAAAATATGTAGAACAGGTGAATATGCATGGGACACCTGTTCTACACATTTTTACATAATAGCAGTGAAGGGATGTTTCTTTGTCTACCTGACGAACTGTATATTTTGTCCGCTTTCTTTGTCCGTCATGTTCATAGTGTGTACAGGTGTATATAGCCATATCCCATAGCCAAATAATTAAAAATAATAACACATGGTACCCACATGTGTAGTTATGAATGAAAATCAACACCCATTACTGGTCAAGTTGCCCTTTAAAGCCACAACTAATTGGTGGTCACAGAAAAGGTCAGTCTAATAGCTGCTACTTCATTATTATACTACTGTAATGAAATAAAAATCAATAGATTTAGGAGAGAAACACACTATAATGTTTAAGTCCTTGTGGACAAACCGGTTATATGTAATGCACATGTACATGTATGCATCTACGCTAGATGTACTGTAACATGGTCATGCTGTAAATCAATCAATCAATGCAGGGTAGCTTTGCTTCTATACAGTAACTTGATTATGCAATGTTGTATGCTACAGTATTGCAAGGCATCTCATCCTCAACATCCCATTTACCTGCTATTGTTGTGCAGGCATGTACTCTATGCAAATTCTGCATGAACCACAGTCAAATAATATTTGGAGATCAAATCGCCTGATACAGTATATTTGTGTTTGTAAAAGGCATATTAAAGGGCTCAACTCTTAAATCTATTCTTTTAGCATCAATTTCATTTCACACAATGTGTCCTGAAGAAGAGGGGTATTACAGGAATATCAGTTCATTTTTAATCAGGAGACATTGACATTTTTCAATTTTTGGTAATTATAGATTTTAGACTTCAAGTGGGTGTGTATTCCAGGGCTACAGTCCAACCCATGAAGGAAAATTGTTTAATTGAGAGAAAGACACCACCCAAACACCTTAAACTCTGAATATCTTCACAACAATTGTGTTGTTTAAAAATTAATTGTACAAAATCCTACATAATATAATGAAATCATTAAGATCTCTTGATAATTGGGACAATGAGATAAACAGCTTGTGTGTACGTAAGAATATACAAGTACTGAAAATTATAAGTGAAATATACAGGAATACATTTAAGTTTAATAGAACATACTGTAGATCACTGATCAATAATGACACAAGATGGGCTCTTTATTTTTTTTTGTTCAAATGTGCTGCTCTGACACACTCTACCTACACCATTCCCTACACCCTTCTCCAAACAAAACAAATGAAATACAACAACCCCACAAAAATAAGATGGGAGGGAAAAAAAGATGGAAAACATGATATCAAACATAGTTAAACCTCAGTTAAATGTGATACGTTATAAAGAATTCAGAATTGTGTATAATAATTATCAATACAGGACTTGCCTTCAATAAATATGCAAAAAAAGAGAAAATAATGCTCATTTCACTATTTATGGTTTCTTCCAGTTTAATTTGCTGCATGTACCTACATTGGCAAGTAATCTGGATTAACTGGTAAATCATCAAAGAGAATTTAATAAGAAGAATCAGAATAACTTACCTGTAAAGTTTGCCTGGTCCTTGAAGTTGATTCTAAAATCCAGCTTGGCCTGTTTCTCTCTGGCTGCAATGTAAGCTGAGGGTTCCCTGGGAGACATTGGTATCCTTGGGGTTCCAGGTGACCTTAGTAGTCGTTCACTGGCAGACATTGGACTGGTCAACCCTTCAAAGGGTACCTCAGTAGATCGCCTACGGGTTTTACGTGTCTCTGTATTCTTATCATACGGGGAGGTATTAAACTTGAAGAGTGTCTGAGGTCTCTTTAGAGATATCTCAGGAGAGGGGAAACCATAAGATGTATCCTTCCGCCAGCTCTTCTCGCCACGTTCACAGGGCGTCATTGCTGGACGTCCTCTGGATGGTGATGAATGGGGCTGCTCCTCCTGGGAAAGGTTGAAGGATTTGAGAGCTTGGGTGGAAGATGACAGGTCCGGAAGAGAAGGGAAAGACATGGAGAAGCTAGATGGAACCTCTTTGATTTTTTGAGGTGGATCCTTCTCCCCAAATGAAATGAAACGTTTGAATCTTTCCATAGCACTGGGACTCACACTTCTTGTGTTTTTCACTTGCTTGGGATTCTCACCATCTCCTGGGTCTTTTTGAAACCTTGGGATACGAGTTGGATTGGGTGGAGATGGAAAATCAGCTCTACTCATCTGTGTGGTATGCTCAATTTTCTTCTTGCCTAGACTTACATCCCCTTCTTCTGAATCATGTAAGGCTTGGTGCATAGCGATGGAACCTTCTGTTCCAGTATGCCATCTCTCTGAAGAACTTGACATGTCACTTCTGTTCTTCTTGTCCACATTTTGTTTTAATAAGCTGCTGTCAGTTTCTGGTGTAAAGAGTTCTTGATCAGGAGTCTCTCTCTGTTCACCAAGTTGTGAATGACAATCATAGAACTCTATATCACTTGGTGTGTTGTCCTGGGGTCCTGTTACAGAGTGCTTCTCTTTCAGAAATAATGAAGTTGGAGGTTGCAAGCGATATCCACTGGATGGATCATAAGTAGTCTGCTCAGGGCTATTCTGTTGATATTTCTCCTGAGGATACCCTAGGTTAGATGACGGATCACCAGCTATAACTGGTCTACCCATATCTTTATAGGCAGGGTTGTGTTTAACATGATAGTATCCATCTACAGGGGTTGAGTGCTTAACATCTATGTTCTTATCCACCACCTGAGAATCTTTCCCATCACCAGCATGACCAGCTTTTGTAGTTATCAGTGGTGATGTCAAGTCTGTTGGACTGGTTAAATCTGACTTCAAAACTGTGAGGGGTGAAAACACCTCTTCCACTGGCTCAGCATGTCCAGGTAGATGATTAGAATTGCTATTCTCCTTCTGATGCAAGGCATCATCCCAATTAATACCATGTGATGTGTTTGATTGGATACCACTTCTATTTCTCCCCTGCAGCATATCACTACCAGAGCTGGGACTGGATGATCGTCTCCTTGATGATGCACCATTCCTCATCACCTCTGCACAAAGTGTATCTGATTTTCTCCTCGCTCCTAGCTCATCGGTGTCCTTTCCTGAATTAGAGATTTCATAGACACACACAGTCTCCTCTATTGTCTCGGTCCGCACTGTTTGCATTCTGTTCACCCTTCCATTTCCTGCCCTTCCTCCATCAGACATAGGCGAGGTGGGTGAGGTAAGTGCTCTATGATCCCTCCCAGTATTTCCCACACTATGTGCCATGACGCTGCTGCTTATATTTCCATCAGGATCATCAGCCCAAATGCTGTTATTTCTGACATGTTTATGATTCTTTTCCTCCATTTCTGTTTCCATTAACTGGAGAAATGATGCTGAAAAATGTTGCTAGCTGCCAAACAGAGAAGAAGCTTTTTTTCTTCTTGCATCATTATTGGATCATTCCACTCTATCACAAAAAAATCATGACATTCCTGCACACTAATGTGAATTTCTGTTCACATGTACAGCAAGTTCAGCTCAGGAACTGAAAATACGTAAATATTTTGTCTATGTTCCTTCGTCTTTGTGACCAGCCAAGCAAAGCAATGACTGTCGCTGTGGTATTCCAACTGACTGACTGATTTCATCTCAATGATTACTATTCTAATCACCCATGGCAATTTTGCATTATCCAAAACTGCTGAAATGATTCCAATCACCTTTATCCATAAATCTCATTCAATGCAGTTTCTGTTTCCTTCATGCACATAACAAAGCCAGGGTACACACATCAACTACAGTACATCAAGGCAAGGAGAGGCCAAATACCTAGTTGGAAATAACAAGCAATATTTTCCAGATCGTTCGCACACGCAATTAGCTCTGTCTTGCTTGGGTATTATTTCATGAGCTTAACTTAGCTTGATCTGGATAGGGCAGTGAGTTCAGTGTTAGACAAGCCTTCCAGTAATTAATCCTGATGTTTCTGTGGATGCCATTGTCTGGAAATACAATGATGTGCACTGCTTCTGTAGAGAAAAGAAAGAAAGAAAAAAGAAAATTCAACCCAGTGAATAAAAGAAGTACCGCTATGTTATAACAACATATGAATATGATCATTCCACTTATTATTCTGCGGGTACCAACCACATCACATCACCATTAAAGAAAAATAGTAAACTTGTTCAGATTTATAAATGTAATTTTTTAAAGGGTTGAAAATCATTCCAATGTTTCTTTTAACATTATATAATTTCTGTAGTATCTATATTAAAATTTGAAATTTGTATAGAGTGAAAAGGGTAACAATTGGCATTTGTGTAACAGGTGTAATTTCAGGATAATTTGGTACTATACACATAATTTCAGATACATTTTATTGCATACACAAGTAGATGCTAAATTGTCCTTTTTTCTTTAAAGATAAAGACCAATTATGGTCATGCGATTGCATTGTGAAAGAAACGTTGTGGAATCGATCAGAAAAGGTTGATCATCTAGCATATAAGTATTGGTGTGTACTGCAAGGTTCTGGAATCATCAAAAAGAAATTTGACCCAGTCTTCGTAAAGTTACAAGCACTGTACACAGAAAGATGTATATGGGACTACCCACACGTGCGCGACACGTGCGCTTATCTCTCACACACCAATAGATAAACTAATGGTTTCCCAGCAAAATTTTTATCATCATGTATTAGTCAAAACATATTCTTTCACATGCTTGGTAATAAGAGCTTCCATTTCATTTTTTGAAATTGGGGCGTTTCCAATACTGGTCTTTACCTTAAAGGTGAAATTCAAAGAAGATCACAAATATGTCAACTAATGTATCACTAGAAACTGGTAAGCTAACAGATGGCCATCGTACAAGTTTTAGGCCAACTACATATCGGGTGATTTGTAAAAATACAAATACAACCACCTCCATAGCAGGTGGGATATACGAGAGATTCGCCGGAAAAATAACGATGTTTTAATGACGTCACTATATGGACCAACACTGCCCAAGCAGAGGACATCCCATAGAGAATGAACATAATTGCAAAGCTATTATTTGTCAAATTATAATGAGTTTAGTGTATATAAATGTAATGGCATGTCAAACCATTCAAAAGGGGATATGACCCAATTCTGATAACTAAAATCTTTTGCTTGTAAATACACAGAATAGGGGTTAATTAACAATCAAAGAAACCAGACTTTCAAATTGAAAACTACCTAGAATGATATTAAGGACGGCATTTGTTCCCTCTTTAAACGCCGAACATACCCCGGTGTGTGCAGCTGAATATACAATGGCGTTTTATTTCGTTTACAAGCGACAGATTCCTTTATTTTTGTATCGCTGCATTTGTCATCAAAATAAAACCATGCACGGGTTTAGAGTGAGGCAATAGAGTATACATTTAGCCTGACGGTAGTGAAGTAAGAGAGAGAACTCAAGAGAAGATGAAAACACAAGCACTGAAAATGTGTGAGATGTCATGGGACATCGTCTGCTTGTGCTAGTTATATCCATACTATGATCTCACACATCTCAGCAGCGTTCGGAGAGCTCTTCAGGTGCTATGCCGGGGCTGTATTTAAGCATTTTGTAATTTATAATATTCATTACTTTGAATGTTTCCAATCATTGAATTTTGATAACCTTTCAAATCAAAGTTTCAACTTTGCAGTAATGAAAATAAAGTTAGTTTTTAAAATCAATGAATATCTACTTTAAAAGGTATAGTTGAGTTCTGTTTTCAGAACGCAAATGCCTTCAAAGTGCATGGTTATTGCTCTTATTCTTATCCAAGACATTTCTAGTGCCCTTTGAGAACCTAAAATTGCTATGAAGGTAATTTTAGACCCCAAAATGTGTGAAATTTAGCCAATACGATCATACCAATTCAGCTCCACTTTCAAAAAAAATATGTTGACCGGTAGAAATAACAATACATGGGCTGGCTGGTTATGCGTAATATAACCAACACGAAAAAAAAAGAAAAGAAGCTAACATTGGTATTGGCTGAAATATGAAGTAAAAGGCACTATTTCGTTTTTTCAACAGCTTTTTCAAATTACCTAATATTTGTGGTGGTACACAAGTATTAGAAATCGTTATATTTATGGATATTTCAGCCGTCTCTGAACCGATTTTGATCAAACAAAGATGATTTTGTCATTTAAATTGTATGTTCTTTCAAATTTGACACTCAGTTTTTCATTATCTCACAACAAAATTATTTTGTGTAGCGCCCTCTGCAACAGAACTCAACTATCCCTTTGAGGATGCAGTAATGCTTGTCAAGAATTATTCTGAGTGGAGTAAACACACACATTCTAAAGCTTTACGAATTAGGAGACTGCTTACTGTATCTGATACCAACAGTCTGGAGTACATTGTCAAAATTTGAATGAGATACTGCTCACCTAACCGTATCTTACAAATCTAAGCTTGTCTGCTTTGCTTAACAAAGGCTTTACAAATGGACCAAGACTGCTTTATGTCTAAACCTCCCTTATCACCTTTCATTTATAAGTACATTCCTTTCTTTTGTTCAGTTTTGTTCTTTACTATAGATGCATTACCCAGCCCAGAGTCAATAACAAAGGCTTGGAGAGTGAATCAAAATGTTTGTGTGTGTTTATCGCTCCACACAAAATTGACCCATTGCAAGAAATATTTTTTCCACCTTAAGATTTATATTTGAGTACCGTAACTACCGTTGCAATTCAAAGAGTCTAGCTCTTCAAGTGCGAGTTCATAGAAAATCACAAATATGGCAAATAGCGTATTACTAGAAACTGGTAAGCTAACAGATGGCCATCATGCAAGTTTTAGGTCAACTACATATCGGGTGGTTTATAAAAATACAAATAAAACAACCTCCATAGCATCTGGGATATGCGAGAGATTTGCCAGAAAAATAACGATGTTTTCATGCCGTCACAATATGAACCAACCCTGCCAAAGCAGACGACATCCCATAAAGAATGAACATAATTGCAATGCTTTAATTTCTCAAATTATAATGAGTTTAGTGTATATAAATGTGATGGAATTTTACACCATTCAAAAAGGGATATGACCCCCATTCTGATAACTAAATTCTTTTGTTTGTAAATACACAGAATATGGGTTAATGAACAATCAAAGAAACCACACTTTCAAATTAAAAAAACCTCCGGAATGATAGCATGGACGTCATTTGTTTCCTCTTGAAACGCCGAACATGCCGCGGTGTATGCAGCTGAAAATACAATGGCGTCTTAGTTTGTTTACAAGCGACGGATTCCTTTTTTTTTTATCCTTGCATTTTCCATCAAACTATACCATGCACGGGGTTAAGAGTGAGGCAATAGATTAAACATTTTGTCTGAGGGTATTGAAGTACGAGAAATAAAAGGAGAAAAGATGACAAAACAGGCACTAAAATTGTGTGAGATGTCATGGGACATCGTTTGCTTGTGCACATCATGTTCAACATGTGACGTCATATCTCAGCAGCGACCGGGGATCTTTTCAGGTGCTATGGCGGGGCTGTATCTAAGCATTTTGTAATTGTTAATAATCATTACTTCTAATGTTTCCAAGCATTGACTTTTGATAACCTTGGCCAATCAAAGTGTCACCTTTGCGATAATGACATTATACATGTAGTTAGTTTTTTAAATCAATGAACCTTCTCTTTAAGGTTATTGCTTCTCCTATTTGGTACAGTGGTCATTCGTTTAACTCTACAGACATTCAAATTGTCAATGATTAACAAGAACAGGAAATTAGGATAAAAAAGAAGATTTCATTAATCAAGACTCACACGCACATTCAAGGGCTTCAACTAGTCTACTAGTCACTTTTGAGTACTAAGCCATTCAAAAACAGTGTATTTACACTTGCAATATCTCTGATCAGAAGTAAATTTGAAGCTGATACTAATAGGCATTCAGGTCACATGGGCACACAAAATATCCAAGTCCCACCAAATCTTGAAATTTTGACATTGGGGTAATAGTCATACTGTTCATTTACAGACTGTAAAAAGTTACATCTGGACCTTCCCCAAAACTTAGTTTTTTGAACACTGCCAAAGTATACCTTCATGGAATCCCTTACATAAAAAGCGATTTTGTGTGTGTGTGATTGGTCCCCATTAGCCCTACAATCTCCCATTAACTCTACTAGCCCAATTCACTGTACATGAAATTTCCAGAATTATGAAAAATGTGTCAATTAGTCATATCAGAGATTTGAAAATAAAAATAATAAACTGCATCAAGCAAAAGAATTGTATTTTTAAAACAAATGATAAATAAGATTCTACTTCGACTTATGCACTACAGGGTTGGAAGTGATGGTGATCCTTGTTGAATGACTTTCTCTTGAACCAAATTATGTTAGGCACTAACAGATATACCGGTAAGAACAATCAAAAGCACTTGCATCAATATATTCTTTATTTTTGTAGAACAATTACAAATCACAAAGAAGTCAAAAGTCCAGATTTAGCTATAATATTTAAGGTGAGCACATACATTTATTGTTTTTCAACTACTTTTCATATCTAAACTTTTTTCTTCTGAAGATCTCTGTAGTTCATGTAAGCCTCTCGTTCATCGATCAATTAATGTACAATTTATCATAATAATTTATGATTTTTCGAAAACAACGTCAAGACAGTCGTAACTTTATCCGCCAACTACGGAGATGTCTCTGATCTTCCTAAACCGTTTTTACGAAGAGCTTAATAGCTAGATATCTCAAGAAATCAATACTATCGGCAAGAAGAGGAGCCAAGACACAGCCTTAGTTGCAATTCCACCGGATTTAAAAAAAAGGAATTTTAGGAAAACTGCAATTATTTAAATGAATTAGGAATGAAAAAGGATTGAAAATAGTACCAGGGAATGACAGATGCAATAAACTTTAAAATTTGTGTAGATTATACAGATTGTACCATAGAATTTACTTGTAAAATATAATTGGGAGTATTTCGTTTCATGACCAGTGAATCAGTTTTGTTTTTGAGATGGGTACCCCGGATAGTGTATACAAATACACCCTTATATTATTCTTAGTAAAAATACGATGTTATAAAAGTTTTGTCCAATGTTTTAAGCGTCAGCACAATATTAAAATGACAAAAGTTCAATATTCCAAACATTAAAACATGTAGGTATGTTTTAAACATTGGTTTACACATTTGAAGATAGAATTTATCTCGAAAATAATATGAGTCTGAAAACTAGAGAATACACTTCTGACTATGGCTTGCCTGCCATTGTAGATTACCATCCCTTTGAGGATTTAACAATGTGGAAATAAATGCGTTTAATCATAGTATTTAAGTGGAAAAAGTATTAGACATAAACATGGCATATATCTTCATTAGACTTTCAAATACCGGTATAAAAAATGATGATAATGTGTAGAAAGATCATAGCTGTAGGATTTCTTGCCCTTTTTTGTCAGCCATAGTCTACCCAATAAATGACATGTGATGGAGCTGCCCATCTTCTAAAACGTCATGACAGAGATATGACAGGTTTTTTTTACGTCATAACTACTTAGTCAGGATCTTGTTCCTGATCTTGGCAAAGAGTGCTTCGTGAAACACGTTGTGGACAACTAGCTCACTAACGCTGATTTAGTCAAGAAGTTAGATTTATGACGGTTTCGAGGAACAGGCCCCGTTTCTCGAAGCCCTCTTTGCCAAGATCAACAACAACATCTTGACTAAGTAGTTATGACGCCTCTGACACTGTCATAACTTTTTAGTCCATGGGCAGCACCATCCCATGTCATTTATTGGGTAGAATATGGCTGGCAAAAAAGGACAATAAATTCTCCAACTATGATTTTTCTACACATTCACTTAAACAGTGAGTTATAATCGTTTTTTGTATTTGAAAATATGCCATGTTTATGTTTAAGGATTTTCCCACTTAAATAAACTGATTATACGCCTTTATTTCCACATTGTAAAATCCTCGAAGGGATGGGTATTCTGCCACGGCAGGCAAGCCATAGTCAGAAATGTATTCTCTAGTTTTCAGACCCATATTATACCAGACCTGCCAACCTCTGGGAGTTCAAAAACTGTATGCTTTAATCCCAAAAGTTGTATTTTACTGACAAAAGTTGAATTCTTAAAAAAAACACTGACTGTTACGTGAATCAATGGCGTGTTCATGCTTCACTTTTTCTGGCCAGAATCAGGCATCTGTTCCGCGTTTAGTTTAAAACACGGTTGCGTTCATGCTTACTTTTGTAGAATCACCGAAAAACGGCGATCACGATCGCCGATCGTAAACTCACAAAAAGATGCGTTTACAATTTGTAAAAGCGTTTAAATGGGGTCAACGCACTGACCTCTAGTGGGTCTACGTAGCATGCACAGTGAAGGTTTGCGAATCCAGCTGGAAGACCAATTAAGGCCACACACGGAGAATTGCCTAGATGAGCCAGAGAAGTAAGCATGAACAGTACACCGTGGAACTGCGATCACGATGAGCATTTACGATGAGCGTTTCAGATCGCTCATTCTAACTTCAAAATCAAGCACGACCACGCCCAATGTCTCTTACAGTTCCTACATAGGAAAAAAACTAGATGGAATTCGACTGCGCGCAGCCGAAAATGATGCCTCCGTCATAGAGCAATTTTACAAACCAAAACAGAACACATTTTTCGAATTCAAGTTCAATTGAAATCCATTAACAGGTTCTCAGAATATCGTGATTACAAGCAATTTCTCATATACATATATGACCCTTTGATCTTTGACCTCATGACCCTAAAATCTACTCAGTTCATTGGCTCTGCAAGATGTCCTGAGTTAAATAGTAATCCATCTGTCAGTTCTAATGAGAATGTGTTCACAAGCTATTTCTGCATACATAATGAGCCCATGACCTTTGACCTTTGACCTTATGAACCAAGAATCTACTCAGTTCATGGGCTCTGCAAGTAACATACATGACCTAATTTTGGCAGGAATCCATCAATCGGTTCTTGAGAACGCGATCACGAGCTGTTTTTGCATACATAATGTGCGTTGTGGCCTTTGACCTTTGACCTCGTGACCCCAAAATCTAATCAGTTCATCGGTTCTGCAAGTTACATACATGACCTAAGTTTGGCAGCAATCCATCACTCGGTTCTTGAGATAACGCGATCACGAGCTGTTTTTGCATACATAATGAGCCCTGTGACCTTTGACCTTTAACCTCATGACCCCAAAATCTAATCAGTTCATTGGCTCTGCAAGATACATACATGACCACAGTTTGGCAGGAATCCATCAATCGGATCTTCAGATAACGCGATCACGAGCTGTTTTTGCATACATAATGAGCCCTGTGACCTTTGACCTTTGACCTCGTAACCCCAAAATCTAATCAGTTCATCGGCTCTGCAAGATACATACATGACCAAAGTTTGGCAGGAATCCATCAATCGGTTCTTCAGATAACGCGATCACGAGAACGGGACGTACGTACGTACAGACGAACGTACGTACAGACGGACGGACGGACGGACGGACAACCCGAAAACATAATGCCTCCGGCTACTTCGTAACGGAGGCATAAAAATTATGGATCATTGGTTGAATATGCATGATTTCGTCACGACTTGTGTGTTCGATGAACCAATTAACATCCCCAAATTGCCGATGTGATATGCTTTTGGAATCCTTTACAGGACAGAATGGGCATTTTGCCATTGAAAATGGCACACACACACACACACACACAAAATACAAAAAATATATATATATATATATATATATATATATATATTTTAAAAAAGTATGTTTTTGTTTTTTTGTTTTTTGAAAAACGTATTTTATTGAGGAAAATCGTACTGTCGTATTTGCTTCTAAAAAACGTACAAAATACGACCAAATCGTACTGGTTGGCAGGTCTGTTAAACCCCCTTCAGATACACAGATTTTCTTACGAGTCCTTAGGGATTGCACATATCCTTGCGTTTTGGCCACTTTTACGATCGATTTAAGAGTTGTTACGAGCTATTGACGATGTATAACAGATTATTACAAGTTATTACGAGTTGTTACGGCAAAATTCCACGATTTGTTATGAGTTGTCACGAATAACTACGAGCAACTAACGTGTTATTAACGACCTGTCTACGTGTTGTTACGAATAGTTACGAGTTACATGTAGTTACGAGTACTAATGAGCCTTTTGATTTTTAACAAAATAAAAAACTGAAAATGAAGTGTTTAAACTTGCAGCTTTTATACATTTTCCCAAATCGTATAATTCCCAATATACGTAACATATACTTATCGATTCGGAAAGTACTTGTAACTGTACGTAAAGTGCTCGCAATAACCAATAACAATCCGTAAAGCCATCGTAACACGACCCGAATCAAATCGTAAATAACATGTAAGTACTCGTAATAATCCATAAATAATCTGTAAACAAATTGTTAAAAAATTCTTATAAGTCATTTACGGATTCTTGCGAGCATTTTACGATACTTACGGATTGTTATGAGCTAATTACGAGCTATTTACGGAAAAATAAATCTGTGGAAAATGGTCAGAAGATTTTTGACATGTCAAAAATTTGCCTCTCCTTTCACGGATCCTTACGAGTGTATGCGAGTTGGTACGATTTTTTTAACGAATACCAGCAAGTTCTTTACGCTTGCGTGCGATTGTCTACGATTTGGTGATCCGTAAGGACTCGTAAGGAAAATATGTGTATGTGAAGGGGGTATTAATTTCGAGATGAATTCTATCTTCAAATGTGTAAAGTGAATGGTTTAAACTACTTTAAACATATGTTTTAACATTTGGAATGTTGAAGTTTTGTAATTTTTATATTGTGCCGACGCCAAAAACATTGAACACAAATTTCATTACATGGTATTTTTTCAAAGAATAATATAAGGGTGTATTTTTATAAACTATCAAATGAAAATATCCGGGGGGTACCCATCTCAAGAACAAAACCGATTCACCAGTCGTAGATCTATAATGAAATAGGCCTACTCACTATTATATTTTACAAGTACTTCTATTGTATAATCTACACACATTTTGAAGTATATTGCATGATTTGCATCTCTTATTTCCTGGTATCATTTTCAATCTTTTTTTACTCCTCATTCATTTAAATAATTGCAGTTTTCCTACAATTACTTTTTTTAAATCTGTTGGAATTGCAACTAAGGCTAAGACTCAGCTCCTCTTCTCGCCAATACTATCGATTTCACGAGATATCTAGACTCTAGTTAGTAAGTACTTCGTGAAACGGTTTAGGAAGATCAGAGGCATCTCCGTAGTTGGCGGATAAAGTTATGACTGTCTTGTTGTTGGTTTCTAGGAACGGGCCCCTGGATACCATTGTGTAGGAGAGTCACTCCCTATATTATAATTGCTATGCTATGGCTAAGTATGAAGCCTAGGTCTAGAGTCTAGTTTCAGCCTAGCACGTTTAGAAAATCTAGACTAGAGTCTATCTATGCTAGATCTAGACTTCTTGCAAAGAGTAGGGTGTAAAAGCTGTGTTTTGTGTGCCTGCATACACAACTGGTAATGTTCAGGATAGGCTGCAAAGCTCCTTAGAAATTAAGAAAGACTACAATTTAGACACACTGATTTGTTTATGAATCACCCGGTTTGAGCGGGCTCCAAGACTAGATCCTAGGCCCTCGCCATCGGGCTCGGTCTCGGTCAAGTTAAGGCACCGGTAGGGTACCGGTACCGGTACCGTACCCTACCATCCAAAATTAGGCCTACATTCAAATTAAATATGTTTTGAAAAATATTAAGTAACCTTTACATTTAATTTTTTTAAACGTAATTAATAAACTAATTATTTGCAAACAAACAAAATTATCTCTCACTCTATCTTGTATTTGCGGGGCGTCTTACTCGAACATGTCGAGATCTCAGTAGTCCTGCAGCTGGCGTGGTACTATGGAAAGCTGAAGGTGATCATCAGTCCGTCCGCGACAGCGGTCGTGATCGATAGACCATACCATGAACGAACAGGTTGAAGCACCCCATCATTTGACACTGTTTTTATAGGCGCAATTGTGTTTCATACATTGCGAGGATTCGAAATTCAAATTCAACATTCAATTCAATTCATTCAATTTCAATTTATTGTCCAACATTGGAAATTTGTTTTGCTCACATTTTACAAACATACACAGAATCAAAATAACTGATTCGAGGTGTCGTAGTCTAGCAAATACCTCACTTATTGACTTTGAATCATTATATTGGTTCGCGGTTCGAGTCCCGCCGCACTAAATGTCGTTTGGCAAGATATTAATCTTCATATACCACTCTGAGCGCCTTATCATGGTAGCTCGGCAAAGACTGGAGGAAATAAACGGGACTCCTTAGGAGAACATTATTGGTATACCCTAATTAATACTCACAAGGCAACCCTGGGTAAACAAGACATATTATTTATACGCCCCCTCCGAGTGTATATGCCTCCTCCTATTTTAAGGTTTAACTATATATTTAAAAATATTCAATTTAAAACGTGGCGCATAATTAGGGTCGAATACACATAATCGGGACATATAACCGCCCTTGAACTTTATAACTTACATTCTGCAGATGATTTTGTTTGTGTCTGTTCTCACTTTTGGATTATGAGAAGGGTTCACAGATTTCTGTTTGTGTGTTTGTGTATATTATGATGTCAATATACAAGTGGTAGGTTTAGACGAATTACGTTAAACATTGTATATAATATATTTTGTAACCAATATTATGTTTCAAATACCTGGAATGGAGAGAGCTCTATGCTTTGTGAATGGCATAATACCAACCGACATGGCGAGATGTACTCAGATTGAGTACAAAGCATTGAGCAAACTTAAATGTTTGGTAATACAGACGTGCCGGTCTGTTATAGGAAAAGGGGATTTATTTTTCTTCTGAGTATTGCATATAATACGAATCAATATTTGACCAGCAATGAGAGCATGATTGTGCTGAATGCTCCTGCTATGGTTGAGCTTATTTTTGAGAGGGAAAATTATGTAGAAGTTTTAGAATAATAAGCATGATAAAATGATGATTCAATCGAGTCGATTTCTAAGAAGAAAAGAGTGAGTGTTCACTCTATTTTCACTCTCCGGGAGTCACGTTATAGGGATCACTTGTTTAGGAGTGTATATCGATTGATTTTAGAGTCCTCTCTAAGAAGAAAGAGTGAATGTTCACTCTATTTCGACTACATTTTCACTTTGCAGAGGAGTGACATCAGTGATCACTCGATTTATTTGAGAGAGATTAGAGAGCTCGAGGCCTTATAAAACCATGGTTACCATGGTACTTTTTTTATAAGGGTTGTGAATGACATTAAAGATAAACTTGAGTTCTGGTAATACGATTGCATTGTGAAAGAAAAAGTGTGGAATGGATCAGAAAAGTTGATCATATAGCATGTAAGTAATGGTGTGTAATGCAAGGTTCTGGAGTCATCAAAATCATCATAAATTTGGCAGAGTTTTGGTAAAGTAACAATCACTTACACAGAAAGATGTATATGGGACAACACACATGGTGTCGGGGCTAGTACTACCCTGATTTCCTTATCGTTCTATGCTCATTACTCAGCCAGTATACATCATCTTCCAAAATTGTTTGGCACATGACATTTATTTGTAATCTTGAACATTCAGTGTAAGTTTCGTTAGATTCTGTGAGAATTCATTTTCTTTTTTTACCAGAACTCAAGTTTATCTTTAAAACGCCTATCATGGTAAGGTGTACACAGGTGTGAAATATATTAATGGGTGATTCTATTTTCACATAAATATACATAATAAATGAAACACGATTTTAATGAGTATTGCAGAAGAATCATTCGAATAGTATCATGAGAGCTCTTGTACATCTGTAAAGGATACCCATGCTGTTAAAGAGCTTCGTTTGTTAGAGAGAAATCTATTAAACATAACATTTTTTGGAAAATAAGATATTTCAAGTACTATAAGTTCCATTTGAAAAAATATCGCGAAGTGTACGCAGATGGTACGGAGTGGTACATCTGCAGAAATATTGTAAGATTGCAAATAAATCACAGGTCTAGATAATGTATTCACGAATTCAGAAGTAGAATATTTCTCCAGTCATTGACAGAGAAGATAATTATCGAATTTTCAAATTGATAAAGCAACATATCGTAGTTCACATCGAAAGAGCCAATTCACTTTATCCTGCAAAATTATATAGTTTGATACGAATTTTAATTTTAATTTGAGAGAACGAAGTGTGAACTATCTTGGGATAAGAGGAATGTTTTTTTTTTTTAGCATTACGCGTTGGTTTGGTTTGACAGTTAAAGATAAACTCCAGTACTGGTTAAAAAAAAAAAATAATTCTCACAGAATCAAACGAAACTTACACTGAATGTTCAAGATTACAAATAAATGACATGTGCCAAACAATTTTGGAAGAAAATGTATACTGGCTGAGTAATGAGCATAGAAAGACAAGGAAATCAAGGTAGTACTAGCCCCGACACCATGTGTGTTGTCCCATATAATTATAGCTTTCTATGTGAGTGCTTGTTACTTTACCAAGACTCGGTCAAATTTATTATGATTTTGATGACTCCAGAACCTTGCAGTGCACACCAATACTTACATGCTACATGATCAACTGTTTCTGATCCTTTCACACGTTTTCTTTCACAATGCAATCGCATTACCAGTACTAAAGTTTATCTTTAAACAAACCGTAACTATACAGGTCGTCATGGAGTATAACAAGTTTTGTGATTTGAAAACACGGGTAGATAAAGAGAATTGCAAAATTATTACAGCAATACGATCGGATAGTGCTATTTTTTTTTAAAGAAAGAAGGAAGAAAGTAAATAATCGTATTAGTTCAAATATTCGTAAACTAAAATTAGAACTTTGCTCAATTTTAGCTGAATATTTTGGAGGAAAAAAAAAATCATTTGTCATTAAAAATGTTAATAACGTATTGTTTAACAATGTTTCCAGTTTTACAAATCTGAGATGCATGGCCCTACGTGTTATCAGTGTCTGTGATATGGTTATGTTGTAATATTGAAGGCCTAAACAAATGCGCTTCAAAATGATCATGAAATGCCACAAACTTAAAGTAAAACTCTTTGAGTGACTGGTTTTACCATACTCATTTTCCCCAATAGACTTTATCGTGTTTTAAATATCGTTGGGAAGATGGTTTTTAAAATTTCGAATTTTAATCATAAATATCTTGATAATCAGACAGGCGATCGACTTGTAAAAGTCATGGGATTCCTGACTGACCTAAAGGTCTATAATAAGCTAGCATGAGCTAAATCCAGGATTCTGTGTAGAATCTGAGACAAAGAATCCCTTCAAATGGGTGGAGTCATGCCCGGGAGTCATGCATAGAGGCGGTCCGTTTGCAGACGGGCCAAAAATAATGATGTCAATTTTTTGTTTGAACCCCGAGTTGAGGAATTATTGATGCTAAAGGATTTTGTTGTTGTTGTTATAGATCATGTGGCAAAGAAAGTCAGGTAAGTGCATTAGGACTTAATCTGTGTGGTCAGATTAACATAATCAACAACAATGGAGGGGGTCTAGGCTTGGTCTCTAATCTGTTATAAATTTTATAATCCCCTGGCTCCATGTACCCTCTTACCAAGAGTGTGAATATGATGAGCTAACACCCTATTAAACAGTACTTACTACTGGTTTAGAGCTCTAATTGGCTGTTCTCGTCATGCATGTATTTTTTAGCTTTTAAATTCTGCAGATATCAGGTTTATCGCATTTTAAGCTTGTTGTTCAGTAGAACGAAGTTTGATGCTTGCTTGTGCCATAGTCTGTTGTCCGGTAGTGTTCGACATCAGGAACAACGTACTTAAAGTTTAAGAAAATCGGACCCCTGGGAAAGCGGTTATTTTCAAAATGAAGAACAAGATGGCCGCCAATACCATAACAGAGCCATAAATCGTGATATATACATCTTATAGATGTGATTTTAGTGTCTATACCTAGAGTTTTCGGGTCGAAGTATCTATATCCACTACCCTGTTGCTCATAAAGTCGGATTTTTTTTTTTACCCCAATTTATGGAAATATTGTGCCCATGCCTTGAGCCATAATGCATGGCCGTACAGAGGATTCTTGTTTATGTTGGGGACCGGGGTAAAATGCAATGAATTATTAATAATTTATTTCATTTTCTTTTTAAATTTTATTTGTGGGAACTGCCCTCTACCCTAGCCCCCGCTGCGTATACAGTCATGGTTCAGTGGCAAAGCAATGGCCTCGTAACTGTGAGGCCCCAGGATCAAAACCGTGCCGGTGCTATATTAGTCCCCTTTTGTGGGGCATTAATCCTCATTACTGTCATTTATGACTTAAGGGCGTAGGTCCCCTAGTTGATAAGCATAGTAACACACACATGCTTTAGCAGTCACGCAAAACAAACATTGGCAAATTATTATTCAATAAAATCTGAGAATGTATATTATTATCTAGATCTATTAGGAATAAATCATTGTCAAAATAATTCAAAAAGAATAAATTCAACTTTATGAGCAACAGTGTACTATGGCCACCAGAAAACCTGGAAATCAAAGATGGCATCCAAAAGGGTCGTTAGTCTGTTATAAATGAGCAAAGTGATTACTAGTTACGCTGTATCTATTGAGACTAAAAGTATCTTTTTAGAGATTTGGATATTCATTGGTCTTGTTGGTATGGTTTGAATAATAATTAAGTATTAGAGTGGCCTTATTTTCGATACGGAACTTAAGATGTCCGCCATTTCGCAATTTTAGATGGCTACCGTAACCTCAAATTAGCCTCAAATCAATTAAGTATCAAGTACATGTATCAAGTTTATTTGTCTTCCAGAAAACACGTGTGACAAATTATAATAGAGTATAATCATAACAGTACAATGTAGAATAAAGGAAGACGAGGAGACCTTGGTTAAAGCACAGCTTGTTAAGTTAA